CATCTATCTATCCATCCATCCATTCATCTATCTCCATATCTATCATCTTTCTCTCTCCATATCTATCATCTATCTATACGTCTATCTCCATATCTCTTATCTATTTCTGTCTGTCTGTCTGTCTCCATGTCTGTCTGTCTGTCTATCTATCGATGCGCACATTATTTTCTTCTTACCAACATAAATGGATATTGCTTCTCGTCTAAAAGATGGCTCTTCCAGGTCTTCTCCGATGGACTCCATTGTAGATGCACTTGACTTAGAAACAGTGCTGCTCCCTAATACTGACCTTTAGTAATGAACAAAGATTTTATCAGGAGAAGGGAGAGTATGAAGGCAACATTGAAATAAACAGAAAATGGAATATTAGAAGGCAACTGTAGTAACTTTAGTTACACGATGCTTGAGACAACGTACTCTCATAACCTTTGAAGAAAATCATAGGTCAGAGACAAGTATTCAGAGCCCAGGGATGCCTTTAGGGAGTCTATAGGATTTTTTAAAGCCTCTCCAGCCTGTGGTCTCAGAAGGACAGCATAGGAGCAAGAGAGAGTCAGTGTTTGCTTTTTGTTTTTTAAACTGTCAATAATCCCATTGTGTACCATGACTACCACCTACCTCCAATGAGGTTCCAATGAGGAATTCAGAGAGCAAACAAAGGATTATGAAGTTTATGGCAAGACCTCAAGTGCCTGAGTGGTTTTGGTTTCTGGTTTTTTGGTTTTTGTTTTTGTTTTTTTTAACACTGCCACCTACTGAAGGCAAGAGTTTCTCAAGAGGAAAGCTTGTTTTGAAAATAGAAAACCAGCCAAGAAGATGGTGCCAGCTGTGGACTTCTTCACTAGCTGAATGTTGTGGACCTTTCATCCCTGCCCTGTGCCTTTTCACTGCCATCTGTGTGTTTGTGTTACATTCTTTGTGGATGGCCATGCCACTGTCTATCTCAAGGCCCTACAGGTCGGCCCATACCCTTCACTTGTGCCCTCTGGAATTCCTGTTCCACAACCAAGTTCCCTTCATTTCAAACCTTCCCCTTCCCTGCTCCCTCCATTTTCCAGCACTCACAAAGACCTGGCTCCTCTAGAGATGATCCTGCCTCTCTGCCTATCCCCTCCACTACCGGTTGTGCCTCCTCTCATTGGCCCTAAAGAATGAGTTCGCATACTCCCTCCTTCTCATTTCCATCTCCAGACTCCCTTTGCAGCTGTCACTTCTCATTCATCTTGTCCAAATTTGTCATCTGATTCAGATCTCGGGGGCCTTTACTGACGGCTCACCGTCCTTTCTTTCTCAAGGAGCTCAGAACTTGGCTCACAAACCCCCAGCACCTCCCCTTAAGCTACCAAGCTTCAGCGTACATGCCGATTTGACCAAATCCTGTCCCTTGATGATGCCCACCCTCTGCCTTCTTTCCTCCTCTTCTTCTCGTGCTGCCCAAGTGAGGTAGATGTATTTGACCCAACCAGGTTGAGTATAAATCTCTATTCTTTAATCTCACCTGGGCCTTTGCCCCAACATGGGGATCCTTTAACTTCCCCCAACTAATTTTCTACGCTTCTCCCCACTGAGGTTGCGTCTGATAATACCCTTCCCCTGACCCTCCCACAGAAACAAGAGAGAGCTCTTCCTATGCTTGCACAGTATCTAAAACGAGATTTGAACCCAGACCTTCCTGATTCCAAGTCCAGCACTATCCACTAAGAATCGGGGGGCCTAGCGAGGAATGATAAGAACAGAAATGCTGGCTTGTTAAAGCTTTTAGGATAAGAAGAGATTCTAAGAAGGAAGAGCGATAGCTTGCTTTCTCAGTGGATGGAGGAGGGAGGGGGAAGGGAGAAAATTTGGAACTAAAAAAATGTTTTAATGAATATCAAAAATAAAGAAATAATAACAAACCAAGACAGGATAGGACCAATTCTTGGAGTGGAAGGGATGATGATAAAACCTTTAGGACTGAAATGTAGCTCCTTTAGGAGCTAAAAATAATGGAAATGCAGATAAAACTATCCCCCCCCCATTGTCATCACACAAGCATAATGAGGGGAAAGAAAGTATAGAGAAGCTGTCAGGAGATGTGCAACATTCAAAGAGTAGAGCAGGAAAAGTTTTCGGTGCACAATTTTTTCATGAGAAATTTGCTCATAATACACATAACCAAAAAACAACACAATGTTCTCTTATTTAGGTGGGACAGATCCCAGATTCTAAATTAATTCACTCTTATGTACGCCCCTTAAATGAGAGTTTATACAAAAACTTATCTTAAAATAAAAGAACCAAAATATTTATAATCGACAAGTATTTAAGCATTTACTCGTGTTTTTATATAAAGCCTGCCTGTCTTTGAAGAAACAGAAATTGATTCCATGAACAATTGACCCTAACAATAGTCCATCACAATGCACACACGTAAATGTTTTAAGTTATCACTGCTAAGTGCATACATGTATATACATATCTATCAGTCCTCCATGACATAAAAAGAACCTCAAATTCCACATTACAAGAGGAAATGCAGCATGCTGTTTCCTACCTTGTGAACTGCCCCACCAAGCTAGGGTTCAAGGTATTCTGAAACATGGTGTAGGAGCCTGCATAGTCTGATCCAAGAGACACATCCTGGGATGCAAGCAGCTTACTGGGCTTTTTGGATCCAGGAAAATGTGGATCTGGACGGAAAAGGGGTCGAGGAGTGACATCATTCCCAAGTGCATCAAATACCTATAAATTACAACAATCAAAGGCAATCAGGAACATGGAAAACATGAACAGAAAACATTTGGATGGCAGAGCATGACTAAAATGGGATAAAGATGAAAAATGCAATTATGTGGGTTTTTTCTGATAAAAAAATTAAGTTCTCCTTAAGAAAATTCCACTAAGTGGGCATAATTATTTAAGAAAAACTCTTTGACATAACTTAGGATCACTCCAATATAATGAATATTAATACTTGACTTCAATCACACAATTCATAATCAATCCTTTAAGGATCGATCACTTCAGTGGCCTATGGTTTCCCTCAGATGATGCAAGAGTTGCTGCATCTGAAAAACCCACCATTTGCATTCCACTCAGGGAGGAAAGTCTCTGAACTTGGCTAGGCTTGGCCTCAACTAAGAGAAATAGAAAGCCATCATCAGACGCAAACCTGAAACCTTTCTGACCTGGTCTATTGCTATTTCCCAGAACTTATGCTATGTTAGCAGAGACTTCCAGAGTCTAGTGCCATCCACACCAAGGTAGGGCTTTAGTGAAGTTTCCTTCTATTTTTTAAAAATTAAATTTTATTTTAAAAAATCAACCTCCTCTTCCTCCCATTTCCTTGCCCCACCCCCAGTGTGGAAGCAAAAACACGTTACAAACACACATGCTACATACATACATATACGCATATGCATAGACATCAAACAAAACAAAATTTCTCATTGACCATGTCTAAAAGCATGTCTCCACTTGTGCTCTGAGCCCATCACCTCTCTGTCAGGAGGTGGACAGCAGGCTTCACGGTGAGTCCCTAGGAACTACAGTTAGTCACTGTGTTCATCAGAGTCCCCAAGTTTTCTTTTTTTCTATATTTTGTTTAAATCAGCCAAGACCCTCAGCCTCCCCTCTAAATGCTACTCCCTGCCCCAATTGACCAAAAGCGAAATAAAACCCATTACAAATACACAGAGTTGATCAAAACAAATTTCTGTATTGGTCACGTCCTAAAAATACTGGTGTTATTCTGAACCCTTCACGCCTCTACCAGGAGGCAGGCATTCTGTCATGACTCTTCCAGAATCTTGGTTGTTCATTATGCTGACAAAGAATTCAGCACAATAGCATTTCCTCACTTTCCTTTTTCATCCATTCCCCAATTTACAGGCTCAGATCCCATTCTTTGCCACCTCGAAAAGAGCTGTGGATATTTCTGTATATCCTTAAAGTTTGTTTTGCATAGAGGGCCTATGGGGAAGTAATATACGATTAGTCTGGAAGCAGAGGGTGAAGACAGACTGAGAAGGGCTTTAAATGCCAAAGAGGGAAGGAAATCAGGAGCAAAGGAGTGCCAGTTTAGCAGAAGGTCTCCAGTGGAATGCTCCAAGGCTCTGTCCGTGCTTGGTCTTATGCGGTGTAACATTTTATCAATTACTGCATAAAGGCCGAGATGGCAAGTTTATCAAACTTGCCTGTGCTAGCTAGGGAAAGCTAACACACCTACAAAAAAGGATATAAGGCAGCTCTTCCAGGCTAAAACAGTGAAGAGAATCCAAGATGAAATTTCATAGGAATAAATGAAAAGTTTAGACTTGTGCTTTTCAAAATCAATTTTCCAAGTAAAACACAGAGGAGGCACCACTGACTGGCAGTTTGTCTACAGAAGGGTGGGGGATTTTAGCGGCTTCTGAGCTCAATGGGCCCTTCAGACCCCACAGCTAGTGTAGCCTAGGGCTATAGGGAGAGGCAGGAGGAATGCCAGGAATAAAGACACAAGTGGTCAGGAGCCCATGCCCCGGTTAGACCACATCTGGAGCACTGGGTTCAGCTTGGGGTGCTGCAGGTGAGCAGAGCCACAGTTAAACAGGAAAATGTCTGGAGACAAACAAGATGGTGAAGGGCTTTGAGTCTAGGCCATGTGAATTCCTGATGGAAGGATCGTGAGATGTGGAATCTGGAGAAGGGAAGGCTCAAGGGGAACGAACACTGGTGCTACCTTCACGTGGACTATGAACTCTACTGGCCTGCTGTGACCCCGGGGGCAGGGCCAGGAGCAAGGGAGAGACTGTAAAGAGACAGTTAGGCTAGAGGTCAGGAACTCTCCTCACAGTCAGAGGGTGGACTGCCAAGGAAGGAGGCGTGGCCCCTGTGTGAGACGGGGAACGTCTGCCATCTTGGGATTCTATGGCAGGAGATGATGGAGACCGCCTAAGACCGACACGACCTTCCAGGCAGACACATAAGTGGGCAAACCAAGGACAATCAGAGGAAGCCAGAGAGTCTAACTCAAGGAGGTACTGTGACCTCAGGGACTGCCGAACCTGGACGGCCTGAGAGCCAGCTCCACAAGAGATGGAATGGGGCTCTGGAAGGACGCCTTATCACCAGACGTCTGCTGGGGCCCTCGTGCTGCCGGGGCAGAGAAGCTACAACGTCTGGACTTCCCTGCCCACGTGGCCATTTCATGATTCCAAAGGGGGAAGAACCACCAAGGAGAAACTCTGCTTGATCATCCTCAACCAGGAGGGGAGGGGAATGATAGGACCATGGCCGAGAGCCACCGCTCTGTCCCAGAGCTTGGGATAGAGAAGAGGAGAGCAGGGCAACATCGGATCTGGCGCCTAGATTTTGGAAGAACAGATTGCAAAGGGTGATGAGAAAACCTAGGGAGTATCTCAAGGGTAAAGTCAAGGCCAGAATAACGGGGATGTGCTGCAAGGACAAAATTCCAAAAATGAGACACACATTTTTGGACATGGACAGGACGGGATTTTTTTTTCTTTTTTGCTTGACTAGACATATTTGTGATATGGGTTTTACTTTTCTTTCATTTCACTTGGGTAAGAGGAATATGTGATAATTGAAAAAAAATTAAATTTAATTAAAAAACGTGAAAATCTGAAGCTACAAAGAGAAGCAATTCTAATAAGCACGAGAATGAGGTATTTGTATAAAGAGACCTATGCTAATACACGATGTAAATTCTAAGGAGACGTGGACAGAAGGTGGAACCAAGAGTGAGGAACAGAGAACACCTACAAATTCAGGGCATGGTCCCATAAGCAGAGAATCAGGAGTGTTCATGCTCAAAATCAACAAAGGATAGCAAAGAAAATTAAGATAACCAAAAAAGAGCAGTTTTTTAAAAAGGTAAATGGAGAAAACGACAAGGACTGAGATAGATGGGACAAGAGCCAAGGACAGAAAAATGATCGCTGGGATCTACATGGCTCCTTACGTCTTGTCCTTCCCCATTCAGGCTTGCCTATAACAGGAAACTGGAAAGAGAGAGGGTGTGTGTGGGTGTGGGTGTGGGTGTGGGTATGTTATGAGTGTGTGTGTGAGTGCATGCTCATGTGTGAGAAGGTGTGTGAGGATATGAGGATGTGTGAGTGTGTGAGCAAGTGTGAGTGTATATGCATGAGGGCATGTGAATACACGCTCACGTGTGTGAGTGCGTGAGTATGTAGGAGGCAGGGAGACTATAGAAACACACTATTTCAAGGGTATTGGCTTGCACTGGGTTCAAGGTCAACGTTAGCCTCCTGTAATGGAAATCCATCCAGGGACAACAAGGAGAGCTGGGGCAATGTTACCATAAGGGAAATCCAGGAATCACTATCAGAGGCCTAAGGTCCAGATCAAAACTCATGGCAGAAGACGATGCGAAGGGCTCTCGGACAGTGTGTGCTCATTGTTTACTCTGTACCGGGCCATCCTGAGGAACACAGACCACCCATGCTTGACCAGGCTTCAGGGAAGGCCCTGCAGCTGAAGGGCTGACCCTCAGAGGGAAAAAACCTGGAGAGGGCCAGGCAGCTTGGGAGATGAACCCTCTCAAAAGCCTAAGCACTACAGTCTTCACTGAGGCCTACAAATGTTTAGGTCATCTGAAGGCTACATTGGAGAAGAATAACACCAGCTTTAGGCAGAGCTCTCAAGCCAATTAAATGCTGAATGTTTCCACCTACAAATGCCCTAAGAGAAAAATCTCCCTAGATAGATTTCTAAAGAGACGAAAATCACCCGAATGTCACCAGGAAAGCCTTCTAAAATTCTGAACCTGCAATATTAAAAATTAAATGACAATGTTCATTAAAGCTTTGTGTGAGCTTTAGGTCCCTCCTCGGCTAGAGCAGCCTCCTATTTCCTTCTGTGGGACACACGCATGGAACGGAGGACGACGCCATGACTTCAAGAACACCATCTGCTTCCATCGTGCAAGGGATCTGTTCCCAAGAGCCGAGACGGTTCACTTTTAACATTTCATTTTCAGAGTTCATCCAACCCAAGCACGCACCTGGACGTGTTGCCTTGGATGGGGCAAGGACACTTTCTCTTTGCCCTCTGTAGGCCCACTTGTGGTCCTCGACATCGTTTGGCTTAGGCTCAGACTGACTTTGCTGTGGCTTATGCTCACTTTGCTCACAGAGAGGCTGACCTTCCGGGTGGTGGACATCCTCCTTGCCTGGGTCGGACTGCCCCTAAAAAACAAAAGGAAAAAACGCTAGCTGGGATCCAAGGCCTGGAAATAGGGGAGCACTTTTCATTTTTTATTACGTCCAAATGCATGCTCTCTGAGGACAGGCATTGCCTTTGCTTTTTCTTTGTATCTCTAGCACACAGCAAGAGTCAAATGTCTGTTGATTAAGTGATAGAAAACTATGACCGTGTGACTGAGGATCAGGGAAATATAGATACAAATAAGATTTTTAAAAAGAAACGTTGAAAAGAACCCAAAATCCCAACTAAGCTATGGCAGTCATTGTAATTTTTTATTGTTTGATGCTATACTAATCATGACAGGACTCCAATACGGCATCACTTATGCTGAGAGGTCCCAGCACCCATCAAGCACATAGACAGAGACTGGACTTCTCCATCATTCTGGCCAGTGTTAACCCTGTGTCAAACAGTTAATGCTCAAAGCTTCTGATTAGATAAAGCTCCTAGCCTACTGAAGGAAGTAGGGGTCATTCTCCTCCTACTGCCTCAGACAGTCAACTCAAACTCTCTTCCCATTTCTGATCCTGAGGAAGGAACTCCCCTCCCCGAACCTGGCATTGGCAAGTAACCCCAAGAACGTTTCCACCACATCTGGGTCAGATTAGAAATGCCCCCTTCCATGTGTGTCTCCAAGGTATGCACCTTCCTTACCTGAAGACCAGCTGTGAGCATGCACCTTCCCAGACACAACTTCTTCTCCCTTGAGCTGGGTGAGCCTCTTGGATCCATGGAGACAAACCTGTCTGTCTATATTGCCACATTGTGTGAGTATGTGCTTTTTTGTCTGCCTGCGGTACACTGTAATAATACAGCTTTTGTTTGTACTTGCTTTCTGAGTACCAACGTCCAGTAAATTCCCAAACCCAGGTCTTGGCTTTAAGCTCAGCCTTGAGGTCAGATAAAGCAGAAGTACCTAAATATCCAAATTCTCTTTTCCAAGAGAATTCAATTCAATAATCATCAAGGAGCTGCTCCACATGATGCTGCACATTAGAGCATTAGGTATACAAAGATAAGACAAAGGTCAGTTCCTGCCTTCAGGGACCTTACACTCCAGAAAAGGTGACTGCCCTGCTTAGAAGTCTGTATTGCATTTGGGTAGATCACATAATCTCAAATTGGAAGAGGGCCTCAGAGGCCATCTATCACCATATATCAAAGCCATGAACTAAAGACCTAATTTAACTAAACTTCTCTGGGCTAATGGACTTTGAAATACAAATATAAACTTCAAGTTTGCTTGTTTTTATTGTTACGACAATGGGCTGGCTTGTTTTACTATCTACTGTTTACTACTGTTTCTATAGCATCATGACAGTTTATCCAGAGGTAACCAGCCTTAGGAGTTGGTCTCTGAGCTTTGAATGCCAGCACAGCATTTTGTAATTGCTGCTAGAGGCAAGAGGAACCCCTGGAGTTTACTGAGTAGGGGGGTGACATGGTCATTCTTGCACCTTAGGAAAATCATTTTAGTTGCTGAATGAAGAATGGATTTGAAAGTGGAGAGACTTAAGACAAGCAGATCCATCAGAAGGTTATTCCAATAGTCCAGTGTGAGAGGACAAGGGCCTGCCCCAGGGTGAGGGCAGTGTTAGAGGAAAGAAGGGGCTTATTTAAGAGATGTCGTGAAGATGGAATCAATAGACCTAGGCAATAGCTTAGCTAGTGAGGGGGTGCGGTAGGGGGAGTAAGAGATAGTGAGGAGTCCAGGATGACTAGAAGGATGGTGTTACCCTCTACACTAACAGGGAAGGTGGGAGGGAAAGGGTTTAGGGGGAAAGATAACGAGTTCGGTTTGGGACATATTAAATTTAAGATGTCTAGTGGACATTCAGTTCGAGATGTTTGAAAGACAATTGGAGATGCAGGACTGAAGGTCAGCAGAAAGACAGGGGCAGGAAAGGTAGATTTGAGAGTCATTAACATAGAGATGGTCATTAAATCCATGGGAGCTGATGAGATCACTGCGTGAAGTATTATAGGGGTAGAAAAGTATGTAGGGTAAAACCCTGAGGAACACCTACAGTTAGAACATGTGATCTGGAAAAGGATCCAGCAAAGAAGATAGAAAAGGATCAGTCAGATAGGTAGGAGGAAAACCAGGAGAGAGTGGTATCCCCAAAAACCTAGAGAGAAGATATTATCAAAAAGGAAAGAATGATCAAAAGTGTCAGCTGCAGAGAGGTCAAGGAGAATGAGGATTGAGAAAAGGCCACTGAGTTTGGCAACTAAAAGAGTCTTAGTAACTCTGGGGAGAGCAGTTTTGCTGGAATGATAAGGTCAGAAGCCAGATTGTAAGGGGTTAAGAAAGAAGCGAGAGGTATTGATTAGAAAAACGCAAATTAAAACAACTCCTGGTACCACTTTATGCCTATCAGATTGGCTAATATGACAAAAAAGGGAAATGATGGATGTTGGAGGGGATGTAGAAAACTGGGACACTAATGCACTGTTGGTGGAGTTGTGAATTGATCTAACCATTCTGGAAAGCAATTTGAAACAATGCCCAAAGGGCTATTAAAACTGTGCATACCCTTTGATCCAGCAATAGTACTGCTAGGTCTATATCCCAAAGACATCAACAAAAGGGGAAAGGACCCATTTGTACAAAAATATTGATAGTAGTTCTTTTTGTGATGGCTAAGAATTGGAGATCAAAAGGATGTCCATCAATTGGGGAATGGCTGAACAAGTTGTGTTATATGATAATAATGGAATACTATTGTGCTACAAGAAACGACAAGTAGGATGATTTCAGAAAAATCTGGAAAGACTAATATGAACTGATACAAAGTGAAGTGAGCAGAACCAGGAGAACATTGTACACACTAACAGCTACAATGTATGATGAAGAACTGTGAATGACTTAGCTATTCTCAGCAATACAATGATCCAAGACAATTCCACAGGAGTCATGATGAAAAATGCCATCCTCCTCCAGAGAAAGAACTGACGTTGTCTGAATACAGACTGAAACAGACTACTTTTCACTTTCCATTTTTTGTTGGTTTGTATTCGAATCTTCTTCACAAAATGACTAACATGGTAATGTTTTACATGATTGCACACGAATAGCCTATATGAGATTGCTTACTGTCTCAGGGAGAGGAGAGGAATAGAATTTGGAATTCAAAACTTAAAAAAACAATGAATGTTAAAAATTGTTTCTACATGTACTTGGGGGGAAACAAAATATTATTTTAAACAGGAGATTGAGAGGCAGTGGAGGAGGCATCGATTGTAGATGCCTTTTTGGGAAGTAAAGCTACAAAGAGCAGAAAAGAAATAGGATGATAGTCAGGGATAGAAGGACCAAGTGAAGGTCTTTTTTTTCTAGGACAGAACAGACATGGATATGTTTTTAAGCAGTAAGAAATGAGAGTAGACAGGGAGAGATGGAAAATAAGTGAAAGAGTGGGGATGACAGAGGGGGCAATCTATTGGAGGAGACAGGATAGAATGGAATGGCTTGAGCAGGTAAGGGGGGGTTAGCCATGGCAAGGAATAAGATCACCTCTCTGTGTGAGACAGCAGTGAAGGAGGAGAGAGTGATGGGAGATGAGGAAGATGAGAGAAGAGGGAGTAATATAAGATAAGGCTCTCAGCTGAGAGGGTAGAGGAAGGGGAGTCATGGAAGGTTTGTGGAGGGATGAGAAGGTTTGAAAAAGATGCTAGGAAAGTGGGAAAGTGGATCGATAAGGCAATTATAGGAGGATTGCCTCAGCAAGGGCCCAATTCAGATTACATAACATAAATTTGTAGTTGATGCAGTCAGGATGGATTGTGTGATTTTCTCCACCTTCATTCAAAAGCTATAAATGGTGAGAGTGATCCAAGGCTGAGCATAATCAGTGATATGATCAGGGGGCTAGGGATTCAAGAGAGCTGAATTGTTTCACCAAGGGGTGAAGAAAGAGTGGCTAGTGTAGGGGAGATGGCCTGGGAGAGAATTGAAGGGTCAAAGAATTCGAGGTCATAGTGCAGGTGAAGAGTAGGGTTATATAGGGAAAACAGAGGGAGAGGCGAAAAGCCAATAGGTTATGGTCAGGTAAGGGGATATCAGAATTTTTGAACATGGGGAAGGTACATTTCTGGGGGATGGCAAAATCAAGGGTATGACCAATCATCTTTGTGTGGTAGAGTGGAGAAGCTCATAGGAGGTAAATAGGACATATCAACTCACTGAGGAAGAAAGGGGAATGACCTGGGGTCCTGTAGACAACAACTACTAGGATTTTGATTGGGTGGTAGATAGGAATAGTATGAACCTCAAAGGGAAGAGAGGTTACTGAGTGATAAGGAGGGAAAATCTGGAAGTAGCTGCAGGGAGCAATGGGAATTCCACTTCCCCTGCCTCAACAAGGGAGCTGAGAACAAGTGAAGGTGTTGTCACTACTGCAAAGGGTGGCCAGGGAAGCAGCGTCATCAGGATAGCCACGGTTCAGTTAGAGCTAAAAGATAGGAATGGGAAAGGATTTTACTTAAATAGATTTAAGATGAAGAGAAGTTTGTTGTCTATGAAACAGGTGTTCCAGAGGGCACTGAGGAAAGGCGGGATGGAGTTGAGGATGAAACTTTGAGGTGGAAGGGTTCAGGGGGATGAGAATAAGGAACGGGGTGGTAGGGGGTATGGATGGAGACTGGATGGTGATCTGTAGGAGGACAGAGTCCCTGAAATGGGAAGGGTATGAGCAGGTATGAGAATGTTCATCATTAACTGGAAGGCACTATGCCTCTGCCCTCAAAGGACAGAAGCAGCAGAAGATGGGAGGCCTGCAGTCAAGGGGAGAATTGCTCTTTGGAGGGTCTCTACATCCCATTGGGAGATTGAGTATTGGGCTGGCAGGAAGATGTGGAAGATTGTTCTGTGGGGCAGAGGCTTCCCCACATCCCAGCAGCTTTTCCTCAGGGAACACGATGTGCCCGGTGAGAGATGGAATGCTCAGAGCACTAGCACATCTGAGGTCTGAGGTCTTCTCACCTGAGGAGGCCGGCTATGAAGTGGTAGAAGCAATTTGTAAACTCTCTGTGCAGGTGGCAGACACCTAGACTAGCAGCCCTTCCTCAGCGGACATTTTCCTCAACACAACCTTATGAAATAAACAGTCTGATTATTACTATTCCCATTTTACAGATGGGGAAACTGAAGCTCAGAGACTTGCCCATTAAGACACATTAAATGTCGGTATCAGGATACACTGGTCTCTTCTGAATGCAAACCCAGTATCCTTTCTGCTGCCCCAGAAACACTGTCATCAGCCATGCAATGGTCCAGGAGACATCTGTAGCTCTGAATCATTTGTAGTAGCAATGAGACAATAAGCAGGGTCTTCAGGACAGGGTAGTGAGAGATAAATAATGAGAAGGGGGAGGGATTTGGGGGCAAGGCAGAAAGAGAGACAGTGCCGCACTGAGTGGGAGGCAGATGGAGAAGAATCCTCCAGGTCGGATGATTCCTGTCCCCTTGCTAAGATGTCCCTTCACAGTCCTGGACTGGGTCCCCAGGCACTCCCTTTTCTTCTCTGCTCAGGGATCCCCTTCCAGTTCCAGGGGTGAAAAGATTCCACATGGTACTGCCATCTCTCTACTCCCCAATTCCTCTCCACTTAGGGTCATGGCAAATAGATACTAAAAAACAGAGTGAAAATAAGTGATTCCAGGAGAAAACAAGGAGAAAAACGGGGTGGAGGGATGCAGGGGGAAAT